CTGAGGAGAAAACGAGTGAGGCAGTGAGGAGACACGCACATAATGTGTGGGAGGGGATAAGGAGGAGGCCGAACATCTGCAGCAATCTGGTAGATTCCATGCCCACCAGGTTGCATGAAGTTATAGCAGCAGATGGAGGTTGGACACGGTATTAACCTGTGGTCAAGAATTAAATCACCGCCCACGACGGTGCCTTGTAGGGGGTGGCGGGGGAGTTAGCTCTCTGGTGTAACCTCGCTGGGGCCACATAGACTTCGTTTCCTAACTCTCGGGAATTTGTCCAGGTATTTTACTATGTGGTTTTACGTCACTTCGCATAAATATGCTTACAAAATCTATGCATTAGTATGCATAACTCTTGGGAATCTGTCCAAACCTTAAATATATGTTATATACTACAATAATCACATAGATATGTTTACAATGTTTATGCATAATAAATGTGAAAAATATTTTTGGGGTTTCAATTAACCAATAGTCATGCCTAGAAAGCAATCTTGATGCTCTAAGTGCATGTATGGTAAATAAAGAAATGAAAAGCAAGCACTTAGCCATATGGATGTAGTTACACGGAAGAAGGGAAATAAGGATGAACCATGGAAACAATGTGCTCTGGGACGATGCTCACAATGACGAATGGGAGAAACCTCTTTATGAAACATCTTACCTACTAAGGATGAAGCTTAATGTTACAGAACACACACACACACACACACACACACACACAGTGCAACTTTGTGTGACGCGTTGTCTGACTTGGGGTGGCTTTGAGCGAACCATACACTTGATATTACAATTTATGTATCCTTCCTGTCCATGATTTACAACAATAACTGTAGGTAAAAAGTTACACTATTATACTAATAACACTGTCATGTATTGATACTATGACTAGTTACCAAGATACAGAGCACGATGAACATAACATGATAATGATAGTGAAGCCTGGAAGGGTTCATATCATAACTTGTGTGTTCGTGCGTATGTCGCCCGGTGAGAGTTACCGTGGGCCTCCATGTGCCCAGGTGGGATGGTCAAAGTATTACACTATAAGTGTGTCAAATGAGGAGTGACTGATCCACATGTAATTTAAGGTTTTTGAAATATGTAGTTAAATTAAACACGATTTTTCATATAAAGGTGCGAATGATGGAAGCATCGTGGTCTAAGTACACACACACACACGTTGTGTGGAGTCAATGGTGGTTTGAAAGTGTTTATTTCCATTCATACTTTCGTAACTACAACCTATGTAATTTTTTTTCTTCGCGGTTCATATATAATGAAGATAATGCAGAGTATAAAATGCCATATACAATATTTATACATAATGTCATCTATACAGCCGTACTATGACTGTGAGTGTTCGTGCGTGTGTTGCCTCGTAATAGTTTGAGTGGGCCCCCGTCCAGAAAAGCACACTGTACTAACTCCAGCACTGACCCAGGTGGGCTAGGAGATTATGGCTGGTTCGGTGGTACAAAAGACTCAGATTCTCTCTCAGCCTGTCCCTGGTTCAGCCCATCTCCACCAACCATCCATCTTAACAGTACTACCCTCTCTAATGTTACCCACTTTCGGTATCTCGGCGAAGAGATTCAGCATCGGATCAGATATGCATCTCAAGCCTTTGGCAGACTCCGAAACTGTGTCTTCAGCTGTAGGGAGCTGAAATTATCTACAAACTTACACGTATATCGAGCAGTGGTCCTCCCCACCCTGCTATATGGCAGCAAGACATGGGTCACGTACAGGAGGCACCTCAAGGCACTTGAAAACTTTCACCAACGTAGTCTACGTTCCATCCTCCGGTTTCGCTGATAAAACAAGAGAACAAATGCCAGTATTCTGGCTGACAGAAACTGTAGAAGCATCGATGTTACCATTATCCATGAACAACTACGCTGGACTGGCCATGTTACTCGCATGGACGACAGTAGACTGCCAAAGCAGCTACTTTACAGTCACCTAACGAATAGTAAACGTAATGCTGGTGGGCAACTGAAGAGGTATAAGGATAGTCTTAAGACAAACCTGAAAAAGTGCCAAATCGACCCCCTCACCTGGGAGACGATTACTCCACACCGTAACGCTTGGAGGAGCACCAGACAAGGTGTCAATACTTTCGAGTTAGCCAGAACGCATAACGAGGCAGACAAGAGCTAACGCCGGAAAGATGCTGCCGCCGCCCCAACTGCATTAGATGTAGCTCCCCACATATTCAACTTCTGTGATCGACCCTGATAGTCCCGTATCGACTTCTTTAGTCAACCCAAACTCACCAACCTAGGTGACATCCTTAATAACTCGTGTCATTATATCATAGCTGAGATCGTCATACTCGATTCTGAGTGACAGCAAAGTAAAAGTAATAGTAGTAGTAGTCACTGAATGCAGCATAGATCTGCGGCTCAACTAACTCAACACAGCTAGGATAGCTACTTATGTGTTAGATTATTTAATATTAAGGTAATAAAATGGTGGCGAAGGTATGGCTATCGGGGGAGGCTGGAGGCCATTAAAAAAGAAAAAGTAGTACTAGTATTAGTAGTGTGTGAGACAGGAAAATTCTACCGGTCTGCTTCGGCTTTCGGAATAATAATAATAATAATAATAATAATAATAATAATAATAATAATAATAATAATAATAATAATAATAATAATAATAATAATAATAATAATAATAATAATAATAATAATAATAATAATAATAATAATAATAATAATAATAATAATAATAATAATAATAATAATAATAATAATAATAATAATAATAATAATAATCAACGTCAGTTAATTGAACACACACACACACACACACACACACACACACACACACACACACACACACACACACACACACACACACACACACACACAAGTGATAAATAAAGGAAAGAGAGAGATCGTGATAAAGGGGAAGAGAAGAGTAGTAGGAACAGGTGGATGAAACAACAAACAAACAGATATTGGATAATGGAAGGAGGGAGGAGGGAGGCTGATGTTTATGTACTAGTGAGAGGGAGAGAGAGGGGTGAGTTAGAGAGGGAGAGAGAGGGGTGAGTTAGAGAGGGAGGAGAAGGGGTGAGTTAGAGAGGGAGGAGAAGGGGTGATAGAGAGGAGAGAGAGGGGTGAGCAGAGGGAGGAGAAGGGTGAGTTAGAGGGAGGAGAAGGGGTGAGTTAGAGAGGGAGAGAGAGGGGTGAGTTAGAGAGGGGAGGAGAAGGGGTGAGTTAGAGGGAGGAGAAGGGGGAGTTAGAGAGGGAGAGAGAGGGTGAGTTAGAGAGGGAGGAGAAGGTGAGTTAGAGAGGAGGAGAAGGGGTGAGTTAGAGAGGGAGAGAGAGGGGTGAGTTAGAGAGGGAGGAGAAGGTGAGTTAGAGAGGGAGAGAGAGGGGTGAGTAGAGAGGGAGGAGAAGGGGGTGAGTTAGAGAGGGAGAGAGGGGTGAGAGAGAGACTAAGTACACTTGTGAGTTACAGTGACTCACCCTGATGACTTAGTGGGACTTTAGAGTTACAGTGACTCACCCTGATGACTCAACACAATACACAGTAACCTAACCTAACCTAACCTAACCTAACCTAATTCTATACATCACGAAGATCTAAAAAAGTCACAGTGAAAAGTAAATTAAACTAATACAGAAAGCCTCGAGTTTTATTCCCAAGCCTTACATCATTCATTATGAGCCTTGTCGCTTCAGATAAATCAACCTTAGAGATAGTTTCCATCCATATGTGTGGTATCAGAGTGAACTTTTTAACAACGTCACGGTCTTTCCTTCAAGAATTTCCAAAGTTGGTGGTGGCTTTGGTGGTGGATAAAAAAACTTCATATTTGACATAAACCCGAGGGAAAAGTCAAGAGGGGGTGGGGGGCTAGATTGGGCGAACGAGGGACCCATCCCCACATCCTCGCCTCCTCCTCCTTCCCAACTCCTCATCTCACCACTTTCTCCCCTCCTCACTCTCAAGAATTTTTGACTTGCACTTAGAACACTTAAATCCATTTATACGTGAAGTTCACTTTATATAAGAAAATTGAGCACACGTCTCACTTAACACTAGCTATAGTTTGGTTTAAGAACTACTAAAGTAAAAAAAAAACTCACTTAAGAGCGATTTATTCTACTTAATGCCAGCTGTAGTTTAATCAAAGAATTAATAAAGAAAGACAAAACTCACATAACAGCCACTTAAGTAAAGAAACATAACTTACAAACAAACAAACTCCGTCGTGTGAGTCAAGAGTTCTCCTTCAAATTCCTGCAAATTTTGTTTCTGTGGAGGCCAACTTAGGATCATCTTGGACCAGCTAAACATTTTCAGGATTTCTGAGTAAGTGTGTCAGAACCTGTTGACAGCAAGAGCACCACCGTAAAACCCAATTTCATATTTTTCTGAAGTTCCTTCCATGTGTAGCACGAGGTCATGTGTGGCACGGTAATGTGTGGCACAGGGTAATGTGTGGCACGGGGTAATGTGTGGCACGGGGTAATGTGTGGCACGGGGTCATGTGTAACACGGGGTAATGTGTGGCACGGGGTCGCGCACACGGGCAATGTTTGGCACGGGTAATGTGTGGCACGGAGTCATGTGTGGGCACGGGTCAATGTTTGGCACGGGGTAATGTGCACGGGTCATGTGGCACGGGGTCAATGTTTGGCACGGGGTAATGTGGCACGGGATCTGTGGCACGGGGTCGCGTTTGGCACGGGTAATGTAGCATGCGGTCATGTGGCACGGGGCATGGTTTGGCGGGCGTAGCACGGGCCCAGTGTAACACGGGCAATGGTGGCACAGGTCATGTGGCACGGGGCATGGTTGGCACGGGGTAATGGGGCACGCGTGTGGCACGGGTTTACACGGGGTCATGTGGCACGGGTAATGTATGGCACAGGGTAATGTGCACGGGCAACGTGCGGTGGGTAACGTGTACGGGGCATGTGACACGGCAATGCACGGGTACGAATGGCACGGGTAATGTAACGTAATGGCACGGGTCATGTGTGACACGGGTAATGTGTCACGGGGTAATGTGGCACGTGTGACACGGGCAATGCGTGGCACGGGGTCATGTGTGGCACGGGTAACGTGGCACTGGGTAAATGTGGCACGGGCAATGTGGTGGCATGGGGTAAGTGTGGCACAGGGTAATGCGGAACGGGGTAATGTGTAAGACAGGGTAATGTGTGGCACAGGGTACGTGTGGCACGGGTCAAGGTGTGACACGGGTAACGTGTGGCACGGGTAATGTGGCACGGGCCAGCGTGACACGGGTATTGTGGCACGGGGTCATGTGACACGGCAATGTGTGTGCATGGGTAATGCGGCAACGGGCCATGTGGCGGCACGGGGTAATGTGGCACAGGGTAATGTGGCACGGGGTCATGTGTGACACGGGTAATGTGGCACGGGTAATGTGGCACGGCAAGCGTGACACGGGTAATGTGGCACGGGGTCATGTGACACGGGTAATGCTCAGCAACGGGGCGGTTTGGCACGGGCATGCGTGGCACGGTCATGGGCACGGGGTCGCGATATGGCACGGGTCATGGGTGACACGGGGTAAATGCGGTGGCACGGGGTCATATGGCACGGGTCAGCGTGTTGGGCATGGGGGGTCATGTGTGGCACAGGTACATATGGCACGGGTTATGTGTGACACGGGTAATGTGTGGCACGGGTAATATACGGCACGGGGTCATATATGGCACGTCATGTATTGCACGGCGAATGTGTGGCACGGAGTCAAATATAGCACGATATTATATGGCACGGGTCATATGGCACGGGGTCATGTGTTGCATGGGGTCATGTGACACGGGGTCATATATGGCACGGGTCAAGGTGACACAGGCCATGTGGCACGGAGTCATGTGAGAACAAGGGTCATATGTATCGGGGTCATGTGTGGCACGGGTCATTTCAGGCATGGGGCATATATGGCATGGGTGTCATGTGTGACACGGGGCAATGTGGCACGGGGTCATATATGGCACGGGGGTCATGTGTGACACGAGGCAATGTGGTATGGGGTCATATGGCACGGGGTCATGTGTGACACGAGGCAATGTGTGTGGCATGGGGTCATATATGGCACGGGGTCATGTGCACGGGGCAATGTGTGGCATGGGGTCATATATGGCACGGGTCATGTGACACGAGGCAATGTGTGTGGCACTGGAGTCAAGGTGAAATGAAGGGTCATATGGTCAGTCATATGGCACTGCAACATATGTGGTCCTAGGGTCAGGTGTGTGTTATGGGGAAGGAGGAGGTGTGTAAGTGTGTGTGTGGGGTTAGGTGTAAGGGCAGTGAGTGTGGTGAGGGGGCAGTGAGTGTGTGGTGTGAGGGGGCAGGAGTGGTGTGAGGGGGCAGGAGTGTGGTGTGAGGGGGTAGAGTGGTGTGAGGGGGTAGTGAGTGTGTGGGGGGTGTATGGGGGTAGAGGGGCAGTGTGGTGAGGGGTAGTGAGTGTGGTGTGAGGAGTGGTGAGGGGTAGTGAGTGTGGTGAGGGGGTAAGAGTGGTGGGAGGGAGGAGTGGTGAGGGGTAGTGAGGTGGTGTGAGTGGGGGGGTAGGAGTGTGGGTGTGAGAAGTGAGGTGGTGAGGCAGTGAGTGTGGTGTGGGGGGTAGTGGGAGTGTGGTGGAGGGGGTAGTGAGTGTGGTGTGAGATAGTGAGTGTGGTGTGAGGGGTGGGTGTGAGGGGAGTGTGGAGGGGGAGTGAGTGTGGTGTGTGGGGGTGGAGGGAAAGAGGGCAGGAGTGGTGTGGAGGGGTAGTGAGGTGAGGGGGTAGGTGAGGGGTGAGGTGGGTGAGGGGCAGGAGGTGGGTGAGGGGTGAGGTGTGAGTGGGGAGGGAGTGGTAGGGAGGAGTGTGGTGAGGGGCAGGGAGTGTGGTGTGGGGGATAGAGGGGGGGAGTGTGGTGTGAGGTGAGGTGAGGGGTGAGTGTGGTGTGAGGGGTAGAGGTGAGGGGTGAGTGTGGTGTGAGGTAGTGAGTGTGGGAGGTAGGAGGGGGTAGGAGGGGTAGTGAGTGGTGAGGGGGGGAGGAGTGTGGTGTGAGGGATAGTGGAGGTGTGAGGGTAGTGAGTGGTGAGGGGTGAGGGGTAGTGAGTGTGTGTGAGGGATAGGAGGTGGGTGAAGGGCAGGAGGGTGAGGGGGTGAGTGGTGTGAGGGGTGAGTGTGGTGTGAGGGGCAGTGAGTGGTGTGAGGGGCAGGAGTGTGGTGCAGGTAGTGAGTGTGTGTGGGGGTGGGAGGGGGTAGTGAGAGGAGGTGGTGGGAGGGGGTAGTGAGTGTGGTGAGGAGGCAGGAGGTGAGGGGTAGTGAGTGGTGGAGGGGCAGTGAGTGTGGTGTGAGGATAGTGAGTGTGGTGTGGGGTGGGAGACAGTGAGGTGGAGTGATTGTGTGGGGACAGTGAGGTGGTGTATGGGGTAGTGATGTGGGTGAGGAATGTGTGAGGTGGCAGTGAGTGAGGGTGGGAGGGTGAGTAAGGAGTGTGTGTGGGGGATAAGGAGTGGTGTAAGGGGGTAGTGATTGTGAGGATAGTGAGTGTGGTGTGGGGCAGGAGGTGGTGAGGGCAGGGAGGGGTAGTGAGGTGGAAGGAGGTGAGGGGTAGTGAGTGTGTTGGGTGAGGGGGGTAGTGAGGTGAGATGGAGTGGTGTGAGGCAGTGAGTGGTGGGAGGGGTGGAGGGGTAGGAGTGTGGTGTGAGGGGGTAGAGGGGGGGAAGTTAGGAGGAGGGGGCGTAGTGAGTGCAGAGAGTGGTGTGGTGGGTAGAGTGGTGTGGGGGTAGTGAGTGTGGGTGGGGGCAGTGAGGGGGTAGGAGGTGTGGGGGTAGGGAGTGTGGTGAGGGGGTAAAGGGAGTGGTGTGGGGTGATGGGTGAGGGGTGAGTGTGGTGTGGGGGAGTGGTGAGGTGAGTGTGGTGTGAGGGGTAGTGAGTGCAGAGGGGGTAGTGAGTAGTGAGTGTGGGGATAGTGAGTGTGGTGAGGGGATAAAGAGTGGTGAGATAGTGAGTGTGGTGTGGGGGCAGTGAGGTGGTGATAGTGAGTGTGGTGAGGGGGATAGGAGTGGTGGTGGACAGTGAGTGTGGTGTGTGGGGGTAGGGAGGCAGAGTGGTGAGGGGACAGTGAGGTGAGGGGATAGTGAGGTGGTGTGAAAGGGAGTGTGGTGAGACAGTGAGTGGTGGGGTGAGATAGGAGTGGTGTGAGAAGTGAGTGGTGGAGTGGCAGGAGGTGTGAGTGAGTGGTGTGGGGGAGTGAGTGTGTGAGGGGACAGTGGAGTGGTGGAGGGGAAAGGAGTGTGAGACAAAGAGTGTGAGGGCAGTAGTGTGGTGTGAGGGATAGTGAGTGGTGTGAGGGTAGTGGAGTGTGGTGTGAGGGGCAGAGTGTGGTGTGAGGGGGCAGTGAGGTGAGGGGGTAGAGTGGGTGTGAGGGGGTAGGGAGTGTGGTTGAGGGGTAGAGTGGTGAGGGGTAGTGAAATGTGTGTGAGTGGTAGGGAGGTATGAGGTGTGTGGAGTGGTGTGGGGTAGGAGGTGGTGTGAGGGGCAATGAGGGGGTGTGAGGGGTGAGGAGGGTGAGGTGAGGGGGTAGAGAGGGCAGTGAGTGTGGTGAGGGGAAGGAGGTGAGGTAGTGATGTGGTGTGTGAGGGGGTAGAGTGTGGTAGGGGCAGTGAGGTGGTGAGGGACAGTGAGTGGTGTGAGGGGGTAGTGTGGGGTAGGAGTGAGGGGGTAAGGGAGTGGTGTGGGGGTAGAGGTGGTGTGAGGGGTAGAGTGTGGTGAGGGGGGTAGAGAGGTGGTGTGGGGTAGTGAGTGTGGTGAGGGGGTGAGTGTGGTGGGGCAGAGGTGGTGTGAGGGGCAGTGAGTGTGGTGTGAGGGGGTAGTGAGTGTGTGGGGTAGGAGGAGGGGGTAGGGAGGTGGGTTGAGGGGTAGGAGTGTGGTGTGAGGGGCAGTGAGTGTGGTGTGTGAGGTAGTGAGTGGTGGAGGATAGTGAGTGGGTGTGAGGGACAGTGAGTGTGGTGTGTGAAGGAGAGTGGTGTGGAGGGGTAGTGAGTGTGGTGTGAGGGGTAGTGGAGTGTGGTGAGGGGTAGTGAGTGTGGTGTGAGGGGTAGGAGTGTGGTGTGAGGGGCAGTGAGTGGTGTGAGGGAAGTGAGTGTGGTGTGAGGGGTGTGAGTGTGGTGTGAGGCAGTGATGTGGGTGAGGGGTGTGAGGTGAAGTGAGTGGTGAGGGGTGGGGAGGTGGTGTGAGGGATAGTGTTGGGAGGTGAGTGTGGTGTGAGGGGGTAGTGAGTGTGTGAGGGATAGTGAGTGTGAGGGGTAGTGAGTGGTGAGGGGGTAGTGGAGGTAGGAGGGGTAGTGGAGGTGGTGAGGGACAGTGAGGGTGAGGTAGTGAGTGTGGTGTAAGGGGGCAGTGAGTGTGGTGTATGGGGTAGTGAGTGTGGTGTAAGGAGTGAGTGTGGTGTGAGGCAGTGAGGGGGTAGAGTGTGGTGTGGGGGGAGAGTGAGTGTGTGGAGGTGTAGTGAGTGGTGAGGGGGGTAGGAGTGTGGGGTGAGGGGAGGGGGGGTAGTGGGAGTGTGGTGTGAGGGGCAGGAGTGTGGAGGGAGGGGTAGGAGGTGGGTGAGGGGCAGTGAGTGTGGTGTGAGGGGCAGTGAGTGTGGTGGGAGGGAGGTGAGTGTGAGGGGTGAGTGTGGTGTGAGGCAGGAGTGTGGAGTGAGGGGCAGAGAGTGTGGTGTGAGTGGTGTGAGGTAGAGAGTGGAAGAGGCAGGAGGGCAGAGGTGGGTGTGAGGGTGTGAGGAGTGTGGTGTGAGGGGGGTAGTGAGTGAGGTGTAAGGGATAGTGGAGGAGGACAGGAGTGTGGGTGAGGGGTAGTGAGTGTGGGAGGAGGTAGTGAGTGTGGTGAGTGAAAGTAGAGTGGTGTAAGGGATAGTGAGTGGTAAGAAGTGGTGTGAGGGGACAGGGAGTGTGGTGTAAGGGGGGAGAGGAGTGGTGGAGATAGGAGTGTGGTGTGAGATAGGAGTGTGGTGTGAGTAGTGACAGGGGGGTAGGAGTGTGGTGTGGGAGTGTGGTGTGAGGGGAGTGAGGGGTGAGTGTGAGGTGAGGTGGGATAGGAGTGGTGTGGGGTAGTGAGTGGTGTGGACAGTGAGTGTGGTGTGAGGGGTAGCGAGTGGGTGTAAGGGGACAGTGAGTGGTGAGACAGGAGGTGTGAGGGGGTAGCAGAGGTGGTGTGAGGGGTAGTGATGAGGGCCATCTGTTGATATCTGTCAGGGCGGAC